AAGTTGCCCAGCTCACCAAAGCCAAGACCAAATTTAAACTCCCCTTCTTCTTAGTCGAATTAAATAAATCCCCCGACTCTCCAGACATCTTCAAACTACAAAAGTGCTGCTACCTTACTATCAAGATAGACACTTTTAACAGACGCCCAGGGCCCACGCAATGCTACAATTGCAACTTTTTCCAGCATTCCTCTCAAAATTGTAAAATGACTACCCGATGTCTAAAATGCGGCCAGCCGCACCGAACGAGTGACTGCCCCATTAAAACGACAATAGAAAACCCAACTTGCATTAACTGCAACGAGAAAGGCCACCTGGCCAACTCGCACCACTGCACCAAATTCCCTAAACAAAAACCCAAAAAAGGAGAACCCTCCCAGGACAGAAATAAAGAAAAACCCCAAAATATCTTCAGCTCTGCTAAAATAAGAGAAAATACTTCCTATGCAAATGCCCTTAAAGGTGACCAAAAGATGGCGCCACCTCCTGAGCAGACCAGCAGCAAACCAAAAGAAACCCCTCTCGGGGAAAACAGACAACCAGAGACCGCAAAAGAAGGATCCTTTGGATTCATGGATGCTGTAATAGAATTGAAAAAATTTTTCACCGACTACCCCTCGCTTCTCGAGCTAGGCAAAAAACTCAGACAGGCCCAAGGCGATGAAAGACTCTTTGTCTTTTATCACCATCTAGCGAACAACTAATCCAAATGATATCCATCCGGATCACGTAACCTGAGTTATTTTCTTTTTTCACCCACCACCCAAGGCAGTTTACAATATTCTAAATTACTCTAAATTAACAATGGCAAACCAAGCATATAAAGTCAACCACATATCAAAGATAGGAGATTAAGATCTCAGCAGAGATCAGGTGCTCCAGAGAAAACATCCCCAACATCTCTGCAGTCGAATGCTCTACCACTGAGCTATAACCCTGTGTCAGCGAACCTTTGCTTTCCGTAGGAACGGATTCGAAAGTGTTTTGTCTAGAACAGGGATGGCAAACCTTTTTGAGACGTGGGTCAAATTGTGTCCAATTTTTTTTTTTTTAATACTACCTCGTGGTTCACTAACACCTCTTTGCACCCGAGTTAAGTTTAAAAAACTTTAACTGATTATTAAAACTAAATATTTAAAATTCGGTTGGCTTAACGAATAAAAAAATGACAGTGGTTTGACGATTTAAAAAACTTATTGGGGTTAAAAATTCTTTGGTTCAAATGGCAATAAGTGTTTGAATGAACAAGGAGTAATGAAAATTACATACAATATATATTATGAATTCTATTTATTAGTATATATATTCGTATAACAAATTGATTATAAAGTATTTAATGAGAAATCTGTTGCTGTTTATTTTCAGATAGTTTTTTTAATATTAGGTTTATATTTCGTATTCATTAGTTTAACGCAACTCGCAGTTCTCTGTTAAGTCTATATTTCTATTAGAATATTTTAAAAAATTCATAGAATAAACAATTTTTCACACAAATATGTGAACTCGAACATCGTTAAAAAAGCATTAACTAGTAGTTTCATTGATATAAAATTATTCGGTAAAGAATCCTATGCGTTTATATGATATTTTCAGTTTTTATTGTGGGATCAATATTATCTGCATTACTTGCACACAGTTTTTCTTCTACTTCAGAATTAAAGTTTTCAAATTTTGTTTTCCACACTACGCTGCTTCGAAATTCCACTAATTCAATTTCTAAATTATCGATACCTTGCCACATAAATTCGGATAACTCCATTGTTTCAAATTCTCTTTTGTATGGATATAAAATAAAGTGAAATGTATTTTCCATACTTTTAAATTGATTGAATCTCTCCTCAAAAGCTTGCTTTATATTTCCTGCGCAATCATTAAATATTTTTTAATTGCATTTGCTTTAATGTCAACGGAGTTTTCAAGAATTATTGTGTTTAGATTATGTTTTTCTAATTTGGAGTTAAAATATTTCATGATTTTCATTTTAAAAGCCTTAGTAAAGATACCAAGTTTCGTCATAAATAGTTTAATATTTTCAAACATCTTTTAAACAATTAGTTCATGTCTCTTTGAATTTTTTCATTCAGTTCATTAAAATGCTGGGTGATGTCACATAAAAAGATTAAGTCATTTAACCAATGAATATTGGATAATTCGTCGAAACTATTGTCTTTTTTAATTTAAAAAAAAAACTTAATTTCTTTTGATAACGTTACAAAGCGGTAAAGGATTTGACCGGAAATACGAGTAAGCCATCGCATGTTGTTTTATGTCAAAATTCCCTGAATATTGGCATTCACTTTTTTGTAAGAATTGTGCAAATTGCCGTTTATAAAAAGCTCTTACACTTATAAAGTTGATTATTTTTATTACAGGTATTACACTGAAAAATATAATGCTTCACACATAAAACTTGCTGATGTATTATACAATGAAATTCAATCAAAGAATGTGAAATATTTTGCTTAAGATACTGAATAAATCCAAGGTTTTTCCTTATCATACAAGGTGCACCATCCTTTGTTACAGAAACTATTTTCTAAAGGTCAATATCCATTTCTTTAAATGCAGTATCCAAATTCTTTAAAATTATCAAGACCAGTACACTTCCCTTTCAATGTTATTAGTTTTATTAAGTCTTCTTTCCTTACATATTTCATACTTATACAGTGCAAAAACTGCTAATTGTGCTTAACCATTTACATCATTATTCTCATCTAAAGCAAATGAATACATTTCTGTATAATTTAAGTCGTTATGTACTTGTGAAAAAATATTTTTTTCTAATTCTATTACTCGATCTTTGATTATATTGCGACTTATAGGTAACTTATTTATACGCTTTATAATCAAGTCTTTTTCTTTAAATCAGCAAACAATGTAGGACTACATTCTAAATACGCTTCCCCCCCCCCTACAAATTCTTCTCCTGGAAGAGGTTTCCCGTGGCGAGCAATGCAATGGGCAACTTGGAAACTAGCCGCTGTAATGTTCTTTTTTGGGGGAACCGAAAAACTTTTTAAAACACTGCTTTGAGAAAAATTTCCTTTTTCTCTTTTGTAAAAAATACGTTTTTCTTTCTTCATTTGTTGACATGCCGAAATTAGAATGTAACGTTTCAAAATGCCTTTTTACATTAAATGTACGTGAAGTTACTTTTTCATTAAACATTAAATATATAACTATTTCATTCCTTTCACACAAACCATTGAGCTTGATATATCCTGGAAATTGTATGACGTTTTTAATTAAATCATTAACCGATATTTTATAATTAATAAAATTTTAACCATCAACGCAGTGCAGGGCTACAATTAAAAATACAGTTGGACCCCGATTTAAAGATTTTTTCTTTTTCCCGATTAAAATGGAGGCAAAACCCCAATTTAACGAATATTAAACCCCGAATTTACGAATTATTTCAACAACCGAGAAACATTTTTTTCATTAGTTTGGATTTGAAAAAAATAGTACTTTTCAAATGTCACACACACACACACACACATCCCTTTTGCCCGGAACAGAAAAAGACTTTTCTTTGTTAGTGGCAAATTTTGACAGAGAAGGGTATGACCCTTTATTTGACTTTACAGATGTAGATGAGTCAGGAGTGTGATCTACCGTGTGAATTTTGAATAGAACAGAAAATTCCATCATTTCCATCTTACTTCAGACAACGCAGGAATATTTTAAGAGATTTTACAATTTGCTCTCTTTTCTGAGAGAAGTGTTGTTAATTATACGTACGATTTTGCTTAAAATTTTATCTTTGAAAATTTGATAAGCATTTCAGATTGTCAAAACCAAATGCGTGGGGATATTTTTGCAGAAATTGATAATGAAACTTCTATCAAAACTGTTACATTTTCTAAATCTTTGCATTGTTTGTAAACTGAAAATATACCTCATGCAGCAGGATGTAACGGATGCAAGTATTTTCTTCTCTGCATAAAGTCAAAAATAATTTAACATTGATTAGTCAATATTTTAACATTTCCAATTAACTGGTGCGTAATAATTCGCAAAAATAGTATTTTTAGCTGCTGAATAAAAAGCGTGTAATTTCTAACGGGATATTTTTTGTGTAGTTGCTTAATGGAATTTCTAAAAGGCATGTGTAAAAAAGATTGCAGTTTTTTGAACCCCGATATTACGAATAACCCCGATTTAACGAAAAATATGCTCACTCCGTTAAACTGGGTCTGAGCTACTTAACTGCAGACTGTATTTATATTTAGAATGCAATACTTTGAGAAGAAATGTTTTGTATTGACATACATAATATATACACACTTCAATACATATTACTTTTAAAAGCGTTCGAAATGAACACCACTAAGTTCAACACTGGTTCTCACTGGTACAGGTGCACCTTAAATTGCGAGCCATAAATTATTAGTATCAAGAATAACAGACATACGCATTACACACATTGGCCCCTCATAAAGTGAAACAGAGAGGGGACGATACAAATGCTGTAGAAGTCTCTTTGCACAAACATAATTGAACATAACCTTACAAAAGGGCACTTTATCCGAAGAAAGTGCTTTAAAAATGGTTATTTGCTTTGGTTTGCTGATTGTTTTTTCAACGAAGTTTGAGCAAAATTATACACCTTATTTAATAATTTGTAAACACTTTTGCTTTATTTCAAATTATACATACTTTCATATACATTCGTTGTCATTTACGTAACTTTACTATAATAATCAAACTAAAGATTATAGACAGCATTTAAATTGCTTTTGTGTCAATGCAGTGCTTGAAAAAATAGAAATAGAATATACATAATCCACAGAAAAACTAAATAAACCCGTATTAACAAAGAAGTAGTTGCCTAGCAATAGAGGGTCAGTTAAAAAGCTTGCGTGGGTCAGTGTCATGACCCACGGGTCATAGGTTCACCATCACTGGTCTAGAAATATGCAGAACGGGATAGATCATTCCCGCCTTCAAAAATAAATTTAAAAAAAAAAAAACATTTCTTTTCACTTTCCTGAAGAAGAGGACAGCCGGGTTTGATCCGAGGACCTCTCAATCTGCAGTCGAATGATCTACCACTGAACTATACCCTCGTGTCAGCGAACCTTTGCTTTCCGTAGGAATGGATTCGAAAATGCTTTGTCTAGAAATATACAGAACGGGACAGATCATTCCCGCCTTCGAAATTCTCAAAAAATATTTTTCTCCACTTCCCTGAAGAACCCTTTGGTTTGAATTGGGAACCTCTCAATTAGCAGTAGAATGCTCTACCTCTGAGGAGCTTCTCTGATGCATTTGTTTGAACACTTTTTGTTATTAAACCATACTTACAGGAAATTTTAAGAAATTAGTAAATTAATCTTTAAATTGTGTTTCATGTACATAAAACATAAGAGTAAATATTAGTTTACCTATTTAAATAACAATTGCAAGTATATGATTATAGATATATTTTCTACGAACGCAATGCGATGAACAAAAACACAATTACTACATTGTAGCAAATTATAAGAGCCTTTTGTATTCGTATATTTATTTTTAAAGTTTTCCTTCTTTTTGGACGTTAGGGAAAAAGGATGAGAGTAAATTTTTCCGATTTTAAATTTTTACCTTCATGACACCGATGCGCGCGCGCACACCGTTGTCTAATATTTTAACATGCCACTTTTTTGGTGCTATGGGACTGATATTTAAAGGATCATAATTATTTCTATAAACCATATCTGTTGGGACGCATACCCCCTGTGCGTTCCCCCTCTACAGCTTTTTGGCCAATATCTCGGCACCCGAGCCTCACAGTCCATTAGGATCTGGCTCATTCGATCCCTCTCTATCTGCTCTTCCAGTTATTATAAGTTCATGTTCATATTGCTATTTCTTCCATAGTTTTTAATTGTCTAAAACTGTTTGAATTTTCTTAAATTTACAATATCTTGGCTCCTGTTCGAGTCTCGGACTTGAGATTTGAACCAAGTGTTCCACTCGTCGAGACACATCCAGTCATCTGCTTAATTCACATTGTATAGGCATGAGGAGGGCTTAAGCACTAAACTATCATGTTCGCAAGTTAATCCTATGCGGACTGGAAAAATTTCACCCCCCCCCCCCCCCCAAGGAATTGAGCTTGAAACTTGATTTTCGGAGATCCGCCATATTTTCGTATTAACGCGAGCTTTACTTCGAATTGCCCCCCTCCCCCTTACGGGGTTTCTCCAGAAATAACTCGAATCCTAAGCCATCTTGGTCGACCGTACCGGCTGGATTCGATTGTTCTTCCTATGAGCATCCTAGATATATTTTTTCAGGACGATAGCGCCATTTCTTTACCCATATTTAACATTTTAAATTTTTTTTAAAATCCCGTATAGCTCCAAAGTTTTTTGAGATTTTTTAATGAAACTCGGACCATAGGTTTTCCTCATTAAGCTGTTTCATCCGTTATAATTAGTGTGTAGATAGTGGGCTTAGGGGGTGTGTTATCACTAAAATAAGAATCCCATGCTATTCCTTTGGGGTTTGATCTTTTGATGACGTAACGGTATTACAGAGACAGAAGGATGTGAAATTTTGGGGTCACCTACTACTCTGTGTATCGTTAGGATGTACATGACCATTTACGTCACAGTTGTTCCACTCCTGGGGAGAATTTCGTTTTCCTTTCCCGAGCTAGCGCCATCCCATTTCCAACTACAGATTCCGGACCGGTTCTAATGGATTCCTCTTGTGTTTGCTCACAACCAGGGTCAGTTTCGAGTTGCTGGGGGGCCCTGCTTCTATTAAATGTTTTAATTATTTTAAAATGACCATAACTCGGGGGCTCTTCAGGCGGATGTCTTAATTTTCTCAGAAAACGATTCTTCTCGCCCTAGACATTCAATATGAGATGACATCAGATATCACATTCGGCTCACTTCATCTCCAGATACAGTCTGATACCCCCCCCCCCCATGTTATTGGTCCTATTGTTCTTGTGCGGGGGTGTTTTAATTTATTTAAATCGTGATTATTTTGGCTGGTCCAATTGACTGAAGGTTAGTATCGTTCAAATCTGCTCGTCACCATCTTTTGCCCTTGGCCCATCTTGCCCTGCTAAAGATTTTTAAAGAGATTTTAATCTTGTTACCCAAAGAAGTATAACTTCTTACGTGCGTACATAAGTAACCACACACTTTTTTTATAGAGATTTTATTTTTCCTTTTTGAAAGAGAATTGATTTTCTATTTTCTTTTCTGTTCTGAGATATTATGAAAATTTTCAGTCCTCATTTTTCTTAAATCCTCTGCAATTTCCCATTTGTTAAAAAGTCAAAATGTTCATTAAAATATTCTGATTTAATAATAATTTTTAGTATATAACCTAAATAATTTTTTATTTCTTACATATTGCATGTTCAAATTAAATTACTGATTGTATGAGCATAGGTCTGAATAAATGCTTGCTCTTGCTTATATATCTGCAATGTTTCTCGTAAACAACAAGATAACATTTTGCTTTGAATTGTTAATTATAACATGAAACATAAGTAAATTCATACTGAAGTTCAAGATGCGCAGGTTAAAGGAGGCCTAACCTACCCAAGTAGTTTCTGATAACTGTATTTTTCCAAAATGGTGGAGGATCTACACAGCCTCTTACTTACATAATCTTGCATATAACATAGGTTTACCTTCTTCGAAATTGATATGCATATCTCATGTTAAATAATGTTTTAATAATAGCTGTATAATTTAAAAATTCATTAGGCAAAAATAAAAATGATAACGACATCGCCTATCAATCGTACTAATATACGCAATAATAAAGTAACAAATTATCTCCTCATGAATTTTAAGAAAAAGCCCCCCAAACTGGTACTTAAAGAATAATTGATTATGATAAGGAAAAAGATTTACCGTAAAATCCGGCATATAACGCGCACCTATACTTTCAAGCAGTATTTTTTAATTTTTAGGTATATTCGCCGTATAACGCGCACCCCCTTTTTTACGAAAAAATTTGAAATGTACGTGTGCAATCTTCTTATGTTTCGATGTCATTATTTATTGGATAAATCATTCCAGACTCTCTTTTGAAATAGTATACTTCTAGAATTATACAACCATTAAGCGCTAGAAGAAGGGGGGGGGGGCCCGAATCAGCGCCATGGCTGGATTTTTCCCACGCTTTGATTCTTTTTTCCCTTTCGTGTGATGTACGAGGCGGACGATTAATTTTGAAATAAATTAGAACAAGCCTGAGTCCTATTATGTTCGCTGTCTGTAGTATATTCAATGCTGGCTATGAATAATATTGAATACGCTTCAAACGGCGAGCAGTAAAGATGGTCCTGGTAAACGATGCAAAACACAGTGCCGGTTTCAAGATGTAATTTGCAAAAGAAAATGGAAATCGTGCTGCAGCAAGGATGTTTGATATTGGCGAAAGCTCCATAAGGGAGTGGGGAAAAAATGAAATGACAATAATCAACGTGCCAAAGTAGAAATGTGCTTTACGTAAAGGAGTAACGAAATGGCCTATTCTAGAAGAAAATGTTGCGAACTGGGTCCTAGAAAATCGCCTGAATGGATTAATTGTAACAAGAAACAGTGTACGTTTATTCGCCTTAAAAAGGTCAAAAAAGAATACCTTTTCATATTATCCAACATTGAAAGTTCATAAAGTATGTTATTTCTTTTAAATAAACAGTATTTCGATATATAAGTATAAATTTTTTAAAGCTCTATATTTTATACTCTCGGCGTATAACGCGCACCCCTTAATTTCGATCTTTTTTGTGTTAAAAGTGCGCGTTATACGCCGGATTTTTCGGTATGTGTGTTATGACTGAAGGTAAGAATTTAAAAATGCTATACTTTTTTTAATTTCATAACATTCCCCACACTATTTTATTTTCCTAATTTTTTTATTCTGAAAATCCATGCGGCCATTTGATTATTGAAAAATCTTTCCGATACAGTTAATTTTCATTTAATACGACTTTTTCAAATATCTATTAACTAATCTTTTGCAAATGGCGTATGAACACTTCGGTAAATAGCACCGTCTGAGAATGGACAACTAGTGTAGAAATAACAGTGTGCATCTCAATAGATGGCGCTTTTTTTACTGTATGTTATTGGTACCAGTGCCGGTTTATCCATCGGGCGCTTGGTGCAAGCGCCGAGAGGCCCGAATAATCTGGACTGATTATATATGTATATATATATATATATATATAACCAGGTTTTCTGGAAATAAATTTCGATCCTCTAATGCAGGTGTACTCAAACTTTTTTTCTGCTGGGCCGCATACATATCCCAGATCTTTCTCGCGAGCCACATACATATCGTCGGTCTAATTATCAAACGGCGTAACTCCATCTGGGATGCTAATTTGATACAATAGGGCTAGGCACCAAGTTGTTGCTTATGTTCGCCAAGATAGGTGATAATATTACAATATGGTTTACTTAGATATATTTATCGTGCGATAATGTGGTTGCTATGGGGATAACGTATATTAGGGTTAGTTTCGGTTTTTTTCCCCCACGGAATCTCTGCTCAGCAAAAGTAACATATTGTTACAAATTTTGTGTCATGAATGCTTAAAATAGTGTAAACAATTTATATCTGGAAGTGTAATACATTAATATAACTTTCTGTTGTATTTATTTTATGTTAAAATCTTGCCCTCACCTCTCCCTTCGAAATCTAGTTTTATTATGAAATAAAAAAAAGTAGTGATTACACTGATCGAGGAATAAATTAAAAGCGGGGCGCACTGAGGCGTGGCGTAGACAAAACAAAAGGATTAAGGAATTAAGCCCAAAAGCGCTTGGCGCGTTGCACTTCTATATCAAATCAGTTACACCGGTGGAGAGTTACGCAGTCTGATAATTAGGCCGACGATATTACGTTCAAAAAATTTGATCAGTGTGGTTCTTTTTTTACATAGCGTTTGGAAACTTTAATTATATTCAATGTGTACTTTTTAAACATGTTAATTTCAGTGTTAGATGGCGCTTCTGTAGACAAAGTTAAAATGTGACCGCAATTCATGGACGAAATAAATATAAAAAATAAATCAAATAAATTTTTCTTAGCTATACTCTCC